TGCCTTTAAAAGTCTCTTAGACCCAAGGAAATCAGGGTAATTGAGATCTCAGAATTTCCAAAAGGATACAATCACACAATTACAGTGCTATGAAAAGCCTAGGGTTCATCTTGCCCACCAGTTCAATTGAGAAGCTCTACTCCTCAACTGAGTCCAAAGGAACCAATCCTGGAATCCAGGGGTGCAAGTGGCTCAGTGACCCCATTGTATAGAGATGCCTGTCTGTGCCAGGGGTAACCAGGGGACTCCCAAGGACCCAGATTCCCTCTTCCCCACCTGTTGTGGACCCTCAGACCACAAATACTGGAGGTGGAGGCGGGGATAGGGACCCTGGAGAGGGGGTTAAGTGAGCTACGTGGTTTTGAATTACAAGTGCCTCTGGACTAAAGTGTCACCATGGAAAAATGAAGGCATGGAAACAGCAGATGGAAACACAGGGTCTTTCCACTCAGCCAGTTGTCAGTGGGTGTTGGAAATAACTCCCCCAATGGGTCTGATACAGCTGGGAGGGGGTTTGTCTGACCTGTGACCAGATCTCCCAAATAATTCTACAAACTTGGCCTCCCCTGTCAAGGCCTAGCAGGAGATTTAATAGAATCCACTGATTTATGCCGGCTGCCGTAATCGAATTCAGAGCCAAGGCGCAGCCAGGCATGGGGAGATTTCTTTATGTTCCCTCGGCTCCTAATAGCATTGTCTCCTCCTTCCTCTGTATTTACCACATGCCATTTGGTCAGATTAGAACTTGAACTCAAAAAAGCAGATGCCTTCCTTCAGATAAGGTCCAAAGTAATTCCCTGTGGGAGAGAAGGGAAGGGTTTTTGACATATCTGTGTGCACAAGGAGTCACTTTTGATATATGAGTTACATAAAAGTAATGACAAATAGATAATTTCCTTTCCTCCTTGCAAGTACAACAGATTCCTTCTAAATTGCATCGGTGGGTGAGGGGTTGGGGGAGGAAAAGTACATCTTTCTTGTGTTATTCTTAGGGATCCAGTGACCTCACGCACGGTCTCAGATGAGTGACTGCAGGCTCCCCTGAACAATACTGGTGCCTTTGTGGGGTGCAGCCCCAGGGCCCCCAGATCTTTGTCAACAGAGCCATTGGGCTGACCCACTCTCAATCCTAACAGAGAGGTATCCTGTGGTTCTCAATTGCCTACTTAATTTTTTAAAATTTTATTACTTTCAGTTATAAATTTTAAAACTCAAGGAAGTGAAAAGAGTTGTTCAGAGTGCACCAATATGCCCACTGCTGTTGGCTGAATTGCCTCCTCAAAATTCACAGGTTGGAGTCCTAAGAATGCCCAGTATCTCCGCATGTGATTGTGTTTGGAGTTGGAGGTCTTTAAAGATGTGATTAAGGTTAAAATGGGACCCAAAGGTCAGCCCTAATCTGATCTGCTTGGCATCCTCTTAAGAAGAGGAATGTGGGATGCAGACACCAGGGTTGCACTTAGCAGGTGAAGGCCACCCACAGGCAAGGGAGAGGCTACAGGAGAAGCCATGCCTACCGACACCTTGGCTTCCAGCTTCCAGACCCATGTGAAATGCATGTTTGCTGTTGAAGCCACCCAGGCGGTGGTATTTCGTTATGGCAGCCAAGCAAACTAAAGCACTCCCCATGTACATTCTGTAGTGGTGAGCGCTCTGATTTACTCTTGTCATGTGTCTTTTATCCATCCATTTTGTTTTCGATGGCTTTCAAAGTGAGTGTCAGACTTTGTCCACTTGGAAGAGCAGACTGGAAGAGAGCAAATGCATACGGACTGAGGGCCACCAGTATGGCTGGCTAAACCCTTTCAGTGGCTGGCAGAGAGCGACCGAGATTGTCTGCTCTGGCTGGGGCTGCAGCTAAGCATGCCCTGGATTCCTCTAGTATGGAAAAAAAAAAAGTCAAGATCATCTACTGGGAGTTTACAGACCAGGAAATATGAACCCAAAGACAGATAACTAAAAAGTGTGACTAGAAAGGCATGATTTTGAGTGTTGGGAAATGCCTCCAAGCCCAGCTGGAAGAGACACACTCCTGCCTCCTTTAGGCACCATTTTCTCAGGGGAGTGGGAGGTTCCTGCTCATTCCTTCTAGGTGACGTGAGGGAGGGAGGAGGACCCCACTTTGTGCTGGTAGCTGAATCTCAGAGGGATGCAGTCCAGCCTACTACTTGTTGGCTGTGTGTGACCCTAGGTACGTCTCTCAATCTCTCCAAGCTTTGTCTGAAATGAGAATAATACATACCCTTGAGATTGTCCTGGGCATCAAAGAAGGGTTAAATAGGGAACATATGGAATCTTCTTCATTGCTGGTGTTTTGCTAGTGGGTCAGGGCAATGCTGTCTGCTGCAGTAAATAATCATTTTAATGGATTCATCTAGTAACTTATCTTTTGCTCACCAAATAGTCTTAACGTCTCAAGTTGGGGCTGTTCACCTCTACTTTGGCATTCAGCGATGCAGTCCCTTCCCATCTGTGGGCTCCACCATCCGTGTGCGGAGGGAATCCTCCGCCCTTGGGCAGAACCACTGGTGAGAACAGTCCCTAGCTCATCTCTTCTCACGACAGGAGGGCTGGGAAACACAGCCACTGCTCAGGGAGCACCCTGGCCCATCCAAGAAGAGTACACCTTCCTGGGATGCCAGCCTTCTCTGCACAGCCCCCATCCTCGTGAAGTCAGTGGTTGGGAGTTAGAAGTGGCCAGGGAGAGGCTGGGATAGGGAGAAACACGAACCACGAGATGGGCAGGAAGGTGAGCGTGGCCAGGGACCCACCTGGGAGCTGTCCCCAGAAGTTGGCACGATAAGTGGGCGGTGTGCGAGATTCCTTCTGCTCTCCAACCCTAAGTCTGTACTAGTTATATAGCCCAGACCAAGTGACTTGGTTTCTTTGAGAGTCATTTTCTCCTCCATGAATTGGAGATAATTAATTGGCCACGAGGAATAAAGACAACAAATGCAGAAAGTGCTGAGTCCAGTGTCACCAGTGTTTCACGGTGAGAGTTTTGCCAAGCCAGGCTCAGCAGCAAGTACATAGCACAGATGTTACTCCTTCCTGTCATCTCAAGGAGGACTATACAAATACGTCTTGGTCCTCTTTCTTCAGAATCCTTCTTAACACATTCCAGGAAGTCTGCACTGACCAGCACAAGTTAGCAGATGAAATGAAAACTCTGCTTTTCAGAGTTTACACCATGAACTCATTCATTTCTACATGCATGTAGCATTGCAAGGGCTTGGCATATAGTAAACATCCAATAAATGTTTGTGAGCTCAGATAGAATTTACCAAGGCCTCTCCCAAGACAAAAAAAAAAAAAAAAAAACATTGGATCTGGAGGAGATGCTAAAGAAAAAATTATTCTGGCACTTGTTAAAATGATAAGGACACTTTTGTCCAAGCTCCCCCCGTAGGTGTCAGGACTAGCGCAGTGATCAAGGCCAGCTCCAACCCAGCGGGACAAGCAGGGACCTACAGCCCAGGGGCAGGTTGGGTGAGTGGATGGAAAAGTACTAGCAAGAGACATCCACGTGCGGCGTTTCTGGCTCAAGCAATTTAATAGGATTCTTGGAGAAGGCAGGCAGGGTGGGGAATGAGGAATTGGATCTGATGTCAAGGATGGGGGATTCTCTCTAAGCTGACTTACTAGAATTCTTGTTACAACTGGATGCTACAAGAGTGAACGTAGGAGCCCAAGTTCAAAAGTTAGTCAAGAAAAGGAATCAGAGGAACCTAAGCGAAGTTTGGTCAAGAGGAGGGTATTTGTCAGTGGACAGGTAGAACCTGAGTCCTCCAACCCGCTCCTCTCCCCACCATGGTTTTTATGATGGGACAACAGATTTGAGTTCCCCAGAACTGAAGTAGCCCTAGGCTCCCCTCTAAACATGTAGCTGTCTTTGCCTCCCATGGGAACTCTGGATCCCTGGGAAGGACCCCGGAGTAACTGAGGCCACACAAATCTCTCTGTGTGGTAGTGGAAGCAGCAGAAAGATGCAAGCTGGAATCTATTCTGGCCCTGATCCTCAATGAACAGTCCTACTTGTGGCAGCCGCAGGGACAGGAACTTCTGGAACAGCGCCCAGGGAGGCAGTATTCCAGAAGTGGTCTTCTGGTCTGGTTGATAAAGGCAAAACACTGTGAATATGACACCTGCTGACAGCTGTCAAAAGGTCCCAGAAACTTATGATGGATTAATTTTACTCTACTGAGCTGTGCCTGGGCCAGAGCACCTAAGGGAACTTGAGGGCAGTCCTGTGTCCCTGTCCAAGGCCCATGGGAGGGTCCTTGCATCTCAGGAATTATGGCACCCAAGGTAGCAAGGCAGACTTTGCCATATCTATTTTACAGGTAAGAAAGCTGAGACACAGAAAGTGAGCAGCCTCCTCAAAGTCACGGCCACTAAGTGGCAAAACCAGGACTAGAGCCCAAGTTGCACGACCCCAGGATCAGTAAATGTACGACGCTGAACTGCACATCCCAAGGGCAGAATTATGTCTAGACTCTGAATCCTGCATGCATTTGGTACTCACTGTGTGCTTCGGAGTGAGCAAAGCAAAAGGATGAATGGACATAGTCTGTGTCCTTTCATTCAAAGGTTGTGGTGTGGGGGTTCAGCAAACTACAGCCTGTGGAGCAAATTCAGCTGCCTCCTGCATTTGTAAATAAAGTTTTACTGGAACACAATCGCACTCATTCCTTTATGCACTGTTTATGGCCGCTTTTATGTATGATGACAAAATTAAGTTGCAGTAGAGACCATGTGACCCACAAAGCCTAAAATATTTGTCATCTGCCCCTTTATAGCAAAAGTCTTTTGCCGGGCATGAGCCTATGTTTGTAATGCCAGCACTTGGGAGGCTGAGGCAGGAGGATCACCACAAGTTTGAGGTCAGCCTGGGCTACTTAATGAGTTCAAGACCAGCCTGAACTACATATTGAGATCCTGTGCCTACAAAACAAAACAAAAAGTCTGCTGACTCTATAGTTCATGATTATTACTAAGCTGGTTAAATGGCAGTGCTTATTGTTAAGTACTAATAATCTTGTCTTCCTATGACCTAGCAGTCTGTGTGTGTGTGTGTGTGTGTGTTGTCACTGTTTTGGTTAAACTTGGCTTTGTAGGAAGTGTAGGAAGCACTCTGGCACAGCCCTAGGGTGCGCAGCTGAGACCAGGCCAGCAGGTCCTCCCTGCAGCAGAGGAGGGCGGCATCTCCGTGGACGCCTCCGTGGGGGCTGGCCGGGCAGTACTGACAGGCGGGTTCTGAGCCAGATGAAATGCAGTCTGTTTGTCAGTCAAGCTCCATTTCCCCTCAGCTCTCATGGCCGATCACTATCTGTAGGTCCCCAGCCTCAGGTCCTCCCCTGGGCAGAGGGCATTCTGTCGTCAAAGCCCGTCCTGGGTGGACAGGACACTGCTCCTGGCTGCTCAGGACTGGCCCCGGTCCCCTGGCATCAGGGCCAGAAGCAGCATCAAAGCAGGGATTGGCCAACTCCCACCCCAAATGCCCAGCAGGCCAGGCTCAGGAGCACTGGGGGCGTGACAAAGCTCAGCCCGTCTCCAGCCTGTGTTCCCGGCCAGTCTGCCTCAGGCCTCCGCACCATGACGGGCCCATCATTCAGCCTCGCACATCTGCTCACCATTTCAGGACTGCTCTGTTACTCAGCTTGCTGCTGGGGTGAGTGTGTGTGTGTGTGTGTGTGTGTGTGTACGCGCGTGTGCGTGCGTGAACGTGCGTGAAGTGTTTCAGAAAAAGGGTCAGAAAGCTGACGTAGCCTAGCAGCTTTTAGCAAACTTTAAAACGTTAAACTTCTCAGCCAGTGTGGGAAGTGCAGTGTGAAGGGTTTTGACAGTGGAGTCTGTGGGATCCTAGCACACACACCCATGTGTGTACACTTGTCATTTCTCCTCTTGTGAACTTGACTTCAGGGTGACAGGCTGACAGCTGCTGTCCCTTGGCTTTGGAGTACAATCATGTTCTCTGGTCCGGGGTCCCCTGGCATTAGGTGTTGGAATACTCTGTGCCATGCTGCAGGCCAGCTGGCTTGGGTGACGGAGCACAGAGGCGGCAGTCACCAAACCACCAAGTCATTTTCTTTGTAGGATGCATCCTCAGGTGCAAAGAGCAAACAACTAGCTTTTACTGTGGTCTTTTAGAGAGGCTCAGTTACTTCAAGGATCAGGATTTGTCCTTTATGGCTTATGTGTTCTGTGCATGGGAGTTGAAGGGAAGTTCTAGGGTACAGGGTTCCCTGGAATATGCAGATAGATCATGGAGAGCTTTAGGCAGATCGCAGCCAGTCTATGTGAGAACCTCACATAGTGAGCTGTCCAGCCACTGTGGGAGCACTCAGTGTGCCCCAGAGCATGTGCCTTCTGCCTTCCCTCCTTCCCCAGGTCTACTTTCTGGTGCCACTTTTTTTTTTTGAGACAGCGTCTCACTATGTAGTCCAGGCTGGTCTCGAACTCACAGCGATCCTCCTGCCTCAGCCTCCCGAATGCTGGGATTACAGACATGTGCCACCATGCCACTTTTAGCAGGCAGGGGAAAGTCTTAAAGCAGGAAGGGGAAGAGCACGCAAAAAGTTGAATAGTCCACCAACTGGACAAGCATGTGCAAAATCATTAGCATGTGGCTTCACTTGCTGTTTTCACAGCCTGCCAAGGCAGGATACCCTCTTGTGTTGTTTCTTTCCTTCCGTGGCTTCTGATGACACGAGGGGAGGGCTGCATGATGGAGGTGGAGATGGAAAGGGCTGTCTCTAGAGGCCTATGGATGGCTTGGCCTTGTGAGTAGGGAGACGAAGATGGACACAGTGATGAACCGGGTGTCACCTTTATTCCTTATAAGGACTCTGAAGATGTTTTGAGTCATTGGGTCAAATCCCTTGTGGAACAGATGAGGAAACTGATTCTCAGATTGAAAAAATGAGTTGCAATGTATATTATATGACTGCTTTCATCCAGACTCAAACTCTTATTTGAATCCCTGTATTTCCAAAAATTAAGTTGGTTTGAATCACTTTCCAAGGACATGTCTCAGTTTCTCAGGATGAAATGGAAGAAAAATCCCTTTTCAAAAGTGAGTCTTGAGTCTAACAGGAAAAGCAAGCATGGACTTTGGGAAAAAATTCAAACACTTGCCAAAAGCCCACTTTAGACAATTATGAATAATTTGGCAATGCAGTGACCACATACAATAACGGGAGTTTGCTGTCCTTAATGAGGGCAAGCAGGCCTGAAATTCTATGGTAGCTACCTGGGGCTGAGCTCTTGATTATGTCCCGATTTCTGCAGGCCCGGAGTACACACACACAACTCACTACAGCAGAGCCTTCTGGGGCTTTTCCAGGCTGGGCCCTGAGCTCAGACACAGTTTCAATAGAGACAGAGTAGTTCTGAGAGAGACCTACAGGCCACTCGATGCCACCAAAATAGACATATGAAGTCCTGGCTTAGCTGACAGGGAGGGTGGAGCGGGGCAGGCAGCTCCGAAACACTTCCACCTGATGGAAATATTCTGAACTGGAATGAGCTGTAAATAAACCAGACCGTGCTAAAAACAAACAGTTCCAGGGAGGGAAGGGGGCAGAAATAGATGGCCTTCACCTGCTTCGGTGAAGTAGGTCAAGGTTAAGGAGGAATGGGGGTAGAGTAGACCGCATAGGCACTTCAGTAGGAGCAACTGATAGTTCCCGCTCGCTGACGAGGTCTCCCGCCTCCAGGAAGAAAGCAGAGAAGGGATTATGTTTTATCAGTAGAAACCGCTCCCGGTGCTAGGTGAGGGAAGTCATCCAAGGCCGTATATGGGCTGGAAAAATAAATGACGAGGAGAGGGAATTAACCACGTGGGCCTGCCAGCCTCCCAGGTGCTCCTGGCTGGCAGAAGCTTTGTGGAAAGCTGCAGTCTTGACTGTTGGCTGTCCTGGAGGCAAAAGAGAGGCCGAGAAGAAAGTAGCAGGAAGGGCTATAAAAGAGTCCTGGGACTGGAGGGTCACTGTCAGCCCTCTCCACATGCCTGAAATACGGTGGAGCCATGGACACTACTGTTCCTCACAACTCAGCACTGTAGGAGAGAACTGGCGTGTGTGTCAGGTTTGATAACAAAGTAGCTCTATCCTTTTACTACTGAGAAAAGGCAGCCCACGACAGCACAGCCAACCCGATGTTCACAGCTGGTCATGGTGCTGCACTGCACACACACACACACACACACCATTGCACACCACACCAGCCTCAGACAGCACCACTGTTGGCCTTGAGGGGTCAGGCCAAAGAGAAGCGCACCCTAAAACCCTAACAGCATGGATTAAAAACAAAACTTCCCACCCAGCCACAACAATGACCATTCCCCATCCTTGCAAATACAAGTGATCCCTGCTCCTTCCCGACCTCAGCTTTCATCTCCTCCTCTTCCTGTTGGTGAGAATGAAGATGCCCAGCCATGGGACAGCCCTTCCTTCCTGACAGTGACCAGTCCAGAGCAAAGTCAGACTTTGCTTCCTCAGACTTTTCACTTCAAACCACCCAGCAGAAGCCCAAACCCTAGAATCAGTCCTTTCTGACTCTCTGCTGCTGCTGAGATACCTCCCGGTTCCTCTGATACAGCGAGTCAACAAACCCAGCTTAGTTGGACTGTAGTTGTGTTCCCTGTGGCCTTTGGTGGAAGGAAATAGCTACATCAGGCTCAGCTCATTGTTACAAGAATCTCTTGCCTCCTTCTTAGGTCTTGGCCTTCATTTGTACCCATATGTAGTCATAGTACAGAGTTTCAGAGGAAGAACTCTGGAACAAGATGGCTTGGGTTCAAGTTTGGGCTCTTACGTACTGATATGACTTTGGATAAAATGCTTAATTCATCGCCTCAGTTAACTGTTCTATAAGTAGGTGGTGGCGGCGATGATGAGGATGATGATGATGATGAATGTTTAACTGTCAGGGTCTCTGGGAAGAGTTTCTATGCATGACCCGCTTAAGTGGTGTCTTACATATAGTGTATATCGTTAATATTATTAATTTAGAAACATTTGTGGAGTGCCAGGTACACTGTTCGACCCTGAGAATGAACACTGCCTCCTACCCTCTAGAACACACAATTTTTTCAAGGAAATTGAGGAAATAGTTGCACCCCGTGAAGAAGAATTAACATGATGATAGACCCAGAAAAAATATATCGCAGGACTGGACATACTGGCACACACCTGTAATCCCAGCTACTCAGGAGGCTGGAGCAGGAGGATCACAAGTGTGAGGCCAGCCTGGACAACGTAATAACATTTTAAAAGGGGACGAGGGATATAGTTCAGTCCTCCTTGTGTTCAATCCCCAGTACCACAAAACAAACAAACAAACAAAAAACAGCAGGGCCAGTCTACCTTGGCTTGGGAAGTCAAGGAGAACTTCCTAATGAGAATACTAAAACCTGAGATCAGGGCTACCAGCCATGTGGAAGATGAGCTACATGTGTTCTGCAAGCTCAGTGTCTGTGAAGGTGTGGAGGTAAGGGCACTGTCGTAAGGCCAGAACTGGGAACTAAAAAGTGATGGCTTTTGGCAATCATGAAGACTGCCGCTATGAACACGAGCATGCTAGCTTAGGGGTTTTGGTGAAGTTACACCCACCTTCCTGTCGGAAAATACCTAGGAGTGAAGTTGCTGAGCTACAGGGTACATCTGTGCTTAGCTTTGATAGAAAGCACCAACCAAACACATTACACCAACTTCTTCCCGCCCCTTTCTGGCTGTTTCACATCCTTGCCACGTTTGCTCTTCTCTGTCCTTTTCACGTTAGCCATTTGGTAGGTGTGCAGTGTTGTCACCCCGGTGTGTAGCGTTAGCATTCAGCAGAATGAATAGACTATAATCTTCCTCCACAACCGAACTCCCCTTAGCAGTATTAGCTTATGCAATAGCCTCTGTGACTTCCACAATCACTGTTATTCAAGAGAAGCCAAAAGTAATTCATACGGTATGATTCCATTTATATAAAATAAAAAACCAGGCAAGATGAACCCCTGGTATTAGGTTCAGGATGGTGGCAACAGAGAGCACTGGGCTTGGCTTCTGGTGCTGGGTGTTCTATCTCTTGATCTGAGTGCTGGTTTCTAGAATCTGTTCACTTTGTGAAATTATATTGGGATGTCACTTGTGATCTGTGTACTTTTCATAAGACGTGCTTTGACCCTGAGTACATGTTGAACATAGAAGAGACTCCAGTTAGTGTAGGAGACCAGATAATGAGGATCAAGGCCTAATTGACCATCTCTGTGAGCAGAAAGGAGAAAAACAGCAAGTTGTGTCTCCTTTGGCAACATACAGCCACGCTAGCACGTGGCAAGTTCCAGGGAAGAGTCAGCACAGCTGTCTACCTGGGCACACGCTACAGATAACAAGAGGCAGGTGAATCTTCTGTTAGGCTAATCGCTTGTGCACATGTTTAAGTAAATAAAAGAGAGATGAGCCAAATGCTCAAGGTTTTTTGTCTACAAAAAGCTGCAAAGCTCCCCCGTCCCCTCATTCTAAATTATCTTTGTTTTTTGGGGTTTTTTTTGTTTGTTTATTTTTGTACTGGGAATCAAACTCAGGACCTTACACTTGCCAAGCAGGTGTGTGTGGCACCACTGAGTTACATCCCTGGCCCATCTTTGTCTCTTTTATCTTTCATCCTCGTTCACCCCCTGGTTGGGGATAAACTCTTAGGCTGGTTCCTACAACTTAGAAGGGAAACTATAAAGATCCAGGGCCGTAGGGCTGAGGATTTAGCTCAGTGGTTCTGCCGCCTGCCTCGCAAGTGCAAGGACTCGTGTTCAATCCCAGTACCAAAAAAAAAAAGAAAAAAAAAAAGGTCCAGTGCCCTCCTCCATTCATCTCCTCACACTCAGATTAGGCCACCAATTTACTCAGACATTAAACTGTGACTGTCTAGTGAAATGGTTGACGCTTGAACATGTGTTTGTAGAGTCTGTGCTTTAAATCATGGGTCTGAGCCCCTTGAAATCAATGCTACGTCCAATTCTGGCTGCCTCTTGTTTTCACAACTTCCTCTAAAGCATAGTATCACAGTCCTTAACACTTCTTTCTCGTCAATTCCTGGGGGCATATGATGGGTCTTTCTGAACTTTGCACTCCTTTCCACAGTGACAGTTTTTGAAGAAGGAGAAATGGATCTTAAATGGTCACAGTGTCCATGCCATCTTAATTTAGCAAAAGCAAGGCAAGGGCTATGTCAAGTAGCAAACAGGTCTGCTCACGTCCCTACAGGTTAGAAGTTAGAGTTGGAGTTCTGGGGTGACTGAGTGGGCCCCCCTTGGGCACACTGAACATGACCCCATGCTAACAAGCAGCAGTTTTCTCTGCCAGCCCTTCCTGGCCTGGATCAGAAGAAGCGTAGCAGCCACAAGACATGTTGCCTCCTGACACCCCCTCCACCCCCTCTCTTCCCACCACCATTCTTCAGAAGAGGCCACAGTCTGGTGAGTACTTGGGACTTAGGAGTGAATGGAACACTGGGCTTCTTGATGTCCACCCCCGTACCCGACCTGGGCCGCCACATGAGATACTTCCATAATCTTGTCTGAGTAGCTACCCTTTCTTCTCATTCTGAAGCTGAGCCTTAGAATGGACATTTGCAGATTCTGGGCCACATCCATTCTTTTGCTAACTTAAATCAGTGATGGAGGGGGGGGGCTTCTCAGATGGGAATTGATTTTGGCAAGTGTCCCGTCTTCTTTAAAATAATAAGGTGAATTTATAGCTTTCTGGGTTCCTGTCAACTGTTCAGATATGAAACTTCCTCTTTCTCTTCCCCCAAGTTATTTATAAAATTCCCCGGCCAGGGAGGGTGTAAGGATGGGGAAAGGAAAATAAAAGTGGGGGACAAAGTAGAAATGGAGAAAGGAGGGTAGAGAAAGTTAAATGTCATGTACCAAAGTACAGTTAGTTTGGAGGAAGAATTACTTCTAGTGTTCTATAACACGGTAGAGTAACTACAATCTACAATTTATGATGTACTTTCAAATAACTAGAAAAGAAGAGCCTAAAGTTTCCCAACACATACAAATGATAAATGTTTGGGCAGGGGATTTAGTTCAGTGGCACTGCCCGGCAAGCGCAAGGTCCTGGAGTTTGATTCCCGGTACTGAAAACAAAACCAAATAAATTTTAAAAAGTTTGAGGAGGTAAAAATGCTAACTACGCTGATTTGATTATTATACATTTTATATTTGTATTACATTATCATAGTATATTCCATAAATATGAATAAATTTTACATGTCGACAGAGAAAACTTTCTCATAGCGCATATCTTAGGTAGACCACGTCCATGAAGCGACATACGAAATAGTGTTCCAAGGCTGGGAATTTAGCTCAGAGGCTTTGCCGCCTGCCTCACAAGCACAAGGCCCCAAGTTCGATCCCTGGTACCAAAAAAAAGAAAGGAAATGGTGTTCCAGTAGCCACACTGAAGCGTCAGAAGGAACATTTTGGGAAGAGAAGAAAAGGTGAGGAAAGAAGCAGGATTCAGAACCTAGAAGATGAAAGGGCAAGGCATTGTAGGGACTTGGCACTCTCAGATCTTTCTGGAAGCTCTTAGACCTGAGCTGTGCTGTAGCTACTAGGTGTCTGTGGCTATCAAGCACCTTCAGTGTGGCTAGTTCAAATTAAGATGTGCTGTAGATAGAAAATACACACCGGAGTCTGAAGACCTGGTATGAAACAAAGAATGAAAAATATCTCATTAGTAATTTTTATAATGAATATATGTTGAAATGACAATTTGGGGGGTACATTGAGTTAAACAAAATGTATTATCAAAACTGGCCGGGCGTGCTGGTGCACGTCTGTAATCCCAGCACTCGGGAGGCTGAGGCAGGAGGATCGCTGTGAGTTCGAGACCAGCCTGGGCTACATTGTGAGTTCCAGGTCAGTCTCAACTACATAGTGAGATCCTGTCTCAACCCCCAACCCCCACAAAATTAATTTCACTTGTTTTCTTTTTGACCTTTTTAAAGGGTGAAAATGTGGCTACCAGGAAATCTAAAACTACAATGTGTGGTTCTCATCAGATTTCTATTGCACAGTACTGTCCTAGCCACTTCATAGGGTCCCTGAAATGAGCTTCTTAACTCTGCCCAGAGTGGCCACCCCATCTCAGGAATCCGTCCTAGCAAAGTGTCTCTCAAGAGCAAATAAGAGAGCAGAAACTGGTGGCCCCAAAGCCCATCTTCTCAGGACACTCACTGGGGTGCCAGGGAATCATCCGTCAGTCCTGGGCCTGAACCCGCAGCGGGGCCATGTCCAGGGAGGCAGCCCCTTCTCTGTACCCTGAGTCTGACCTGTAACCCTGTGTTGCTTTGCACTGAAGCTTCTCTCCCCAGACGTGAAGAATCTCCTCCTAGAACTCGAGACCTCACAGTCCCCATGCCTGCAAAGCTCACTCGGCTCCCCTGGGCCCCCCGGCCCCCAGGTAGGTGCACTGCCTCCTGCTACCTCTGTTCAGAGCAGGAGAGTCCCCTGGGCAGAGCCTCTTGGTGTCTCCCCTTTTAAACCTGACAAGGGGCTCCTTCTTCTCTAACTTACCTGCCCCACCAGAGCCACCTGGAGAGAGCACTGGTTTTCTTCTGGGAAAATTCTGGCCTCCTGGGTATGATTCCTCATCTATGCAAGGGGAATAATAATCACTTCACCATATCAGATCTTGGGTGAATCAAGTGAGATTCTGCCTGTACGGATGTGGCTATAATTATGGTTGTCATCAGACAAAAACTTGACGATAATGCGCCTAATGTGACCATTGGCCCATCTGCAGACCTAGAGGTACCAGCGTTCAGTGCAGGAAAGTAAAGCAAGAGGAACTCATTACCCTGAGCTTCACTGGGCCCCCAAAATTGCTACCAAGCAGCCCACCGGTCCCCACCGAAGGTAAAGGAAGAATGAAAAAAGGAAAAACACTAGAGAAAGGCTAACTAGATAAAGAAACCCCATCTCACTCCCAGCTCCTCTGGCCTGCGTCTGAGAGGGGCTCCATCAGTGAGGGGCAGCCCTAGCCTGGGGCTCCAACCTTCCTGGGGAGGAGAAAGAGGGGCAGGAACTTCTCCATGTTCCTTCGCTCATACACTGTCCCTGACCTCAGTTAACCATCCTGTGGCTTCCTGTCACCACAAGATAAGAGCCAGGCCGCCCTGGGCTTCGTAGAAGCCTCTCAGGCGGGATCGCTGCCTGTATCTTCTTCCCTCAGCTCACACACACCTCCACTATTGCCCACTCAACATGGCCACAGCAGTCATCTCCTGGGTTTTCATGCAGCCTAAGCTTGTTTCAACCCTAAGGCCTTTGCACTTGCTGTTCCTGCTATTTGCGAAGTTCTCTCCTCGGATATTTATCATAGTTGGCTCCTTTCAGTCACTCAGAACTCAACTTTTGTGTCTCCTTCTTAGAAATGACTAATGAAGGTAATCTCCCTCACACCTTATTGCTCACAGTCACCAGAACCTAGTTGAATTTTTTCTCAATCTGTTATGGTTTCCTGACTATTTGTTTTTATTCCTGTCTCTTTGGTCTCCCCTTTATCAAATGTAAGTTTTATGGCCCATGGTTCAATCTAGTGACAGGCTGTTTGTCTAACTGAAGTTTTATTGTCTGTGACTGCTTCTGGGCCACAAAAGCAGAATTGAGTAACTCTGATAGAGACCAAATGTGGCCTGCAAAACCTAAGATATTTAATTACTCTCAGGCTTTGTACAGAAAAAGCTTAATGACCCCTGGTCCATGGGAACAGGGGAATTGTCTACCCACTCATAGTTGTATTCCCAATCCATACCAGTGCACGGGGTTGTAGGCTGTTCTCCATAAACATTTGTTGAATGCACTAAAGAAAACAGGAATCTGAACCTAGAGTTGGCCAGAGGCTACCACAGAGGAGCTGGGAAGTCTGAAGAAAGGCGAGATGGAAATCCTCTAAGGTGGGTTTTATTGTCCTACCTGTAGCCGTCCACTGCAATGGGTCTCAGGGCACATGAGAACCCACAGAGCATCGGGAAGGAAGGGGGGACCCTCTGCTGATCTCAGAACAGCAGCTCTTCCATCCCACTAAGCATCTAACTCCATGCAGTCCTCTTTGACTGCACGGGGGTGAGCTTCCCAGCTGTGAGGTCCATGTGACCACCTCAGCTCCCCTAGCATAGTGGGAACACTGTCCCTTCTCAAAGTGAGATCAGTGGACCAGCGACTTTGTACATACAGGAGCTGGCTAGCAATGCAGAGTCCCATCCCTCCCCCGACCATTTAAATGGAATCTTCATTTTAACATTTGAAGAGCTGCGCTCCAACCCATCTGTGCATTATCGATTGGGAAGTCCTGAGCTAGAAGATCTTGTAATATAGTTCCAGCCATTTCAAGAAATGACAAAAATTAAGGCTTAGAAGAACAAAGAGAATGGAATAAAATGTTTCCTTCCCCGCTTTTCCAAAGCAGTGGTTCTCAAGCTTATTGCACGGTATGATCCCCTGGGCGGCTTCAGAAATTCCTGATGCTCATTCCCCCCACCACCCTAGATTTTTGTCTAGTTGATCTGGGGTGTAGATTGGGCTCGGGGTGTAGTATGCGGATGGGTCTGGGAACCACAGGGTAAGGGTGCATGTTTACCTGTGGGTCTTGGGACAGTGGAATTCTGAGGGTATTTTCTGGCCTGGGGAATTTGTAAACCAAAATCAATCACTGAGCATTTCACAGACGTGGGAGCCCAAAACAGATGTGTTGTGATTGTGGGTGTGCAAAGCCTTGTTGCGATGGGGTGTAGATCCCGTGAGGTAGAATCACCCCACTCCTGAGGCTGGGCAATGGGGCAGAAACGTGCTGTTATTTACTCACATTTTCCATGTCTTGACAGAGGAGAATTTTGTTTCTAAAAATGGAAAGGGGAGAGTGGTTAGGGTCCTGGTACCCATAAATTAGCCGTAGGAATTTGCAAGTCAGCTGCTGCTTAATTTCACTTCCTTCTTGTCTGGGCCCCAGGAAAGCTTGGTGAGAGCAGGAGAAAAGGTATGAGAGGTGGAGAAGCATCATGTTTTCAGCAAATGGGATTTCCCCGGGACTCTTCTGGTGCTCTCATTAAACACTCAGGTGGTTTCAAGCAACCAAAAGGTTCCAGGGACAAAACTAAAGTCACAGAGAGTGGATGTGTGACATTACAACTGAGGTACCACTGGAAACACAGTGCTGAGAAAGCTCAGGAAAGGGAGGAAGGGAGAGGAGGAGAGTGGGCTGCAGGACAGAAAGCTCCTTTTGGAGCCCCCAGAGCCCCACATCCACACAGAAGCCTCAGCTTCTGTGAGGGTCCAGTGCACCAAGCTCTTACCTGCCTCCCCACAGAAGTCCCCTCTTGGTTTGGTATATTCTTTCTCTAATTCTTGTCTTGATTGTATAGGGTCCACCAGGGCTTCCTGGCAAGATAGGACCAAAGGGAGAAAAGGTATGAGCCCCTACTGTCTTCATCCCACCTGTCCTTGATAACTCCAGCTTGTCCTATAAGGGTGCCACTGAGAATTTTCTGGTTAATATTTCAAAATATGTGCTAATTCTGCCTTAGTGTAATGACAGGGCCCCTGACGACCGGCTACTACTGGGGTGTGGGATCCCACTGGTGAATTCAACTTCAACTTGGCCCACTGGCATGGCAGGAATGCTGTGACCAGCCAAGGGATTGGCCACCCGACTGAGCCATACAGTTGTGCCCAGCCACCAGCCCTATGAAGTCCTCTGCTTCCAGAACTTCTCTCCAAAGCAGCCTCTGCTCACCTGTCTTCTCCATCCACAGGGAGAACTTGGCCGGCCAGGAAGGAAGGTATGGTCCCTTTTGATCTGTCAGCATCACACAGGCTACTGTGCGCCACATGCGTGTGAGTGTGTGTGCGCTCTCAGGGGTGAGGAACCAGCCATTCGTTACTATGGCCACTAATAACCAAGTGGTGGACAGTGACTGTGCTGCCACCCTGAGTGTTTCACAGACATGGGAGCCCAAAACAGATGTGACTGTGGGTGTGCAAAGCATTGTTGCGATGGGGTGTAGAGCCCGTGAGGTAGAATCACCCCACTCCTGAGGCTGGGCAATGGGGCAGAAATGTGCTGTTATTTACTCACATTTTTCATGTCTTGACAAAGAATTTTGTTTCTAAAAACATGAAGGGGAGGTTATTAGGCACCTGGTACCCACAAATTAGCCATGGGAATTTGTAAGGACCAGTAGCAGCTCGGCCCTTTCTTGCAGTTCTTTGGTCAGGAACTGGAGCCTGCCACTGCCAGGCTTTCAAACCTCTATGGCAGCAGCAAGCCTGGCCAAACTTCCTCCAGGTTCAGACATCTTGAGCTGCCACCCATCAGAGAAACCCTCCCAGGCTCCAACCAGTTACACAAAAGGACTCTCACTATCTGTTCGATTAAACTGGAGTAAAGTACCAGAGCAGGCACAAACAAATGGCTTTTGCTTTTTGGTACATGTGACATAAATGGGAGTCACTTAAGGTCACAGTAATGCCGAGGGAGCCAAACATACATTATCAAGACGCTAATAAGGCTGTGAAGATAGAGAAAACCTGCAGTCTGTCTCACTCACCGTGTCAGTGTAGATTGGTACTGATATTCTTGGTCATTGAAGGAAGGATGAAACTGGCAGAGAAAGATGCTCACGGCCCTGAATATAAATCCTATATTCCTGGTTAAACGCTTTACCCAAATGGGTTCACTGTCAACAAGAGCCTTAAACAGACCTGTGTGAGGTACAGACGTCTACTCCAGCCACAGCACTGCTATCTGGAAAGGAAAGTTCCCATGCTAAGGCCAAACTGGTGCTGTGTTGATTAGTGATGTCTGCCGTGGATGTGGGAGGCACAAGAAAAAATCAGCACACATGCCAGCATTTGGCATCTCTGAGATCTTGGCTGAGCCCTTCAAATCTCTAGCTAGCTGAGGTCGAGACAGACCTCTAGGACATGCTTCCACTCTCTCTTATAGGCCTTGCTCTTCCACAGCCCCTGGTTTAGGTTGGTTTCCCTGGAAACAGACATGAACAAGTGAACTAATTATTAAGGGATCCTGTAGGGAGTGAGAGGAGCTAAGCAAAAGTGTGGTGTAACATGAAGTCCCAACTCAGAAGGCTGACTCCTGTGGCAGCTCTGAAGCATAAGTTGCCTGTATCTAGGCTATTGGCTGCAGGAAGAGGAGGTGCATAAATTACCCAGCATCCACTTGCCTAAGCACAAACTCTGCACCTGCAGATTGCAGAGAGGAGTTGTTAACAGGAAGGATGGTAGCTTCCTGGGGATAGGTGCTCTAAGCAGGTAAAAAGGATCTTGAGAGAGTACCAATAGTATCTACTACTGATAGGACACAATCCTGTCTCGTTCTGTAGCATATCCTCGAGGAGAACCCACGAGAATGCAGGAATCATTTGGATGAGTGTGCAGACATGATAAAGACTGAAAAAAATAGAAGTTTAGGATCCCTTTCCCACTATCCTCCAATTATAGAGTAGAATATAATTGTGTTTTGTGATACTTAATGACATCAAGGATTTAATTTATATCTAAGTGGCCCAACATTCTAGGCTCTCAGTCTTTGGAAAGTAGGGATGAGGGGAGGGCCCTATGGACCATGCTTAGAGGCCTTATATTCATGTCTGGGCCCAAGGTATTCTTGAAAGGAAGGAAACATATCCAACTGTCCTAACTTTTGCTCTTGGTTTTTGAAGGGTAGACCTGGCCCCCCAGGTGTTCCGGGCATGCCTGGGCCCATTGGCTGGCCAGGCCCTGAAGGACCCAGGGTAAGTGTGGTATGCTCCTGGGCTCATGTGGCATCAGAACAAGGGAGGGGAAAGTGACAGCTCTCCTGGCATACAGTCAGGGAATCATTTCCTCAAGAGGGGAAGAACAGAGCTTGGGGACTGTTCCTGGGTCAGCAGAAACTTCCTCCTTCACTCAGCCTTGTTCAGTGCCGTGGCTGTGCTCCTGCAGAAGGAGAAATAGGGCCCTCTTTCACAGTACCCTGCTTCTCCTTTGACCTGAGAATTAGCATATGATTCTTTGATTTCCTCGTGATGACCACTGGAGGACTTGTCTCAGGAAATTTTTGCCCATCGAGCTGATTGGGTAGGAGTAGAGGACTGAGGGAGTGGATGTTGGCTAGCTTGAGAGAAAGATGGAAATCCTACCTAGAGGGATCATCAAGGGCTGATGAAGTCTCCTTCCTCAGAGAGGAAGCAAACACATCCGCATCTACACCTCTGCTTGCCTTCTCCTCAGCACTGGTCAGACTACAGAGTGCACTGTTGTTTGACTTGGAAATTTTACCTGCAGAAGTCAGGGGTAGGCAGGTGAATGTCACCAACTGCTTTGATTCTGTTACTGGCTGTATTATGGGTGACCCTATTTCCAGTCCCCTGTGGAAAAGTCCCAAGGGTATTTCTTTTTAAACTCCACTATATAGAGCTGAGCCCTGAAACATGGCAGCCACTGACCACATATGGCTAGTGAGCCCTTGAAATGTAACCAGTGCAACTGAGAAGTTGAATTTTTTATTTTAACTCATCTGAGTTTAAATTTTAAAACCTTTACTCAATTTAGTTATTTAAAAACTTTCAGGTATGTTTGGATCAACTTGAATATGTGATTCTGCTTTCCCAACTATAAATTTTACGAAATCTAATTACAGATCAAATATTTTGAATGAAAATTTAGCTTAAATTGAGATTTTTTTTTCTTTTTTTTTTTTTTTTTTGT